CATTAAGGGTTTGTTTCTTTATTACTAAATGGCACTACATAGAGCTCCTTTTGAGCCCATTCCTCCGTTCAACCTTCAAACTTTGTAAAGATACCAATATTTTTTTCTCTCCAAAAGAAGGAACTTATAATTATTGCCATGGAATGTAAACAAAGCTAGCTAGTGGAGCACTTTGATTTATGTGTCCTTTCTTTGACTTTCCTTCTCCAATGTTAGCCCATAGCTAGGGCTAATCTTCCCCCCTCCCCCACAATTTGCAATTTAGGGTTCATATAAAATTTTTTAAGTGAAGATGTTAAGGGTACCGTTAAAGTCATGTGTCGAAAAAGTAGGAGTTCATGAATAAGGGCAATATCACTGTTAATAGAGTTCAGTAGAGTAAATTCATGTCTAGTAGTCGATATTTACAATGAATCGAATGATCAGCTGCTAGTTATCATCTCTATGGTATAAACCCTTTGACGTGGAGAGCTCAAAGGTAATTTTTGACCTTGAAGAGATAATGTCATACCAATACAAAAGTAAAAGCGAACTAAATGTCCCGACAACGATTTACTTGATTACAATGCATAGGGGGTAAATAATGATGAAAACCTTAAACAAGTGGGATACAATATTAAAACATAATATAATGTAAAAGTTTCCTTTTGAGAGCAAAGGATGATGTTAAATTTGAAGCAATTGATGAACACTAAGAAAAATGAAATGGGAAAAGAAGAATCTAAAATGATAAATGGAAAAGTAGGTCCCTTGAATTAGCTAGCTAGGAATGCTTGGGAATCATTCTGTTTCTCTACCACTTGTCTGATTCCCATTGGTCAGTCTGCTACAACTATGAAACCCAACTTTTTGAAATCTCTGTGTGAATGTTAGAAGATGAAAGGAATCCAATTCCATATCCAATCATGAATTATCAAGAAACCAAGGATTCAAATGATTTAAAAAATCAAGTGTTTGTGTTAGTTCTCATGAATTTGGAAAAGTTGAAAGAGATTACAATTATTCTTCCTATCTCGTTTGAATTTGAAGATTTAATAAGTCGATTTAATACGGTACTATAATTAATAAAAGATCTTAGATTTCAATTCTTTTATCGTTGGACACCTGCAAAATGTTAATGGCACACTAACTAAAGGTCGCGTTGGATAACTACTTTGTTTTGGTTTTTCATCTACTTTTTTATAACATTTTCAAAATCTAAGCTAAAATTCGAAAACTAAAAAGTAATTTTCAAAAAGTTGTTTTTGTTTTAGAAATTTGACTAAAGGTACACGTGTGTGTTTCTAACCATAGTTAAATTGTATCAAAGAGATTGTGAGGAAAAAAACATAATTTTCAAAAACTAAAAAAAAACAAAACATGAACATAGTTTAGTGGTAATTAGCCTATATTCATTTTCTTAGATAATCAATTTGGTCGCTGTGGTTGGACTGGAATTTCTAACCACATTCTCCATAGGGCCCTCTTATCTCTTACTTGTTCGAGCTCCGTTGTGTGATAAGGAACCGAGAAGAAAGTATAAAAAACAACAGGTTTTATTACTGGACAGCTCATGATGTTCATATCGATCTATTATATACCTCTACATCTAGCATTGTATCTTATGTTTCATTTCTTCTGGAACAATCACAAACAATTTGTAGAATAACGGTTTTTTTTAGTACAACATGTGGGGTGGGAGAATGGAACTCACGACCTCTTGGTTGGAGATATATGTCAACTACCACTAAGTTATACTTGCTTTGGCTAGAATAACGGAATTTTGAAAATGAGAAAATAAAACAATCATTTTACAAATTTTGTGTTACAGATTTATAGATACATTTTAAGAAATGGAACGAGTGACGTATCATACTAAAATTTTGATTATAACAAATGAGATAAAAATGAAAAAAAAAAGAACAAAAATGGTCACTTTTTTTTTTGATATCCGTGTGTCTGGGCCAATTTGCAGGCACCTCCACTAATGGATATAAAATCCTAGGTAGGTGGCGGCCACCATGGTTTGAACTCATTCCCTCTAAACCCTTTGTTATTTATATTCTTATTTACCACTAGGTCATCTCATGATGGTTCAAAAATGGTCACTTTAAAAAAAGTAAATGGATCGAAACAAACATTTCAAGAGTACAAAAACTAAAATAAACCAAAGTTGAAAATATAAGAACTAAACTAAGCATTTTGAAAGTATATGGACAAAAAGAGTATTTTTTTTTAATATATATAACTGGGAGTTAAAGCTTTGCAACCCTATATCCAGAGGTCCCTGCACCCGCCCCAAAGTTCATATTCGAGAGATATCAAGCTTGAGATCTTCGAGTCGGTATGACTAAGAGATTTGAGATCCTTATCAAGTGGGCTACCTCTCGGAGCGAGATCAAAAGAATACTTAAAACCTAACTTTTTTTTTTCTTTCTTTTTTCTAATAAAACACAAGTTGGTACTGAATCAACGATGTGCCGCAAAAATGAATAAGAATATGCTTTTGTGGGTTTGGTCAAATCCGTCCTCAGATCAGAATATAAATTAGAAAAGAAATCCCATAAACTGTCACACCACACAATCAAAAGGAATGGGAATAGGAATAGGAATAGGAATAATATTGTGTCCATCCATCCAAAAACAAGTCCTTAGCATTGACCCATGTCCGAAATTATTGGGGGTTGAAAAAACATAAAACAAAAACACATTGGTCTCACTCTCATCACCACCAACAAATTCCCAAAAACAATGATGCCTTCCAATGGTTTCTTCTTTTCAAAACAGATTTATGAATTATGAATTATGGGTTTGCTTTACCTTGGAAATAGGGGCGTTCGAGTCCTGCGTTGATCACAATATTGCTCAACCCAGACAGCGAACCTTCCAATGAATAAATGAAGAACTATAGGTTTGCTTTATCCAACTTCTTAACCCACTGTTTGGAGGAGCCTTGGCCATGGCTTCCCTTTCTCATTGCTCCACTACCACCCACCTTATTGGTTTCCTCACTGGTTTCATTTCGCTTTACCAAGTCTTCAATTCAACCCTCTCTTTTTTTAATTTTTATTCATTGACCTTTTGGAAACTTCCTTTTTTCTTTCATTTCAAGTCATGATTTTAGTTTTTGTTTCAAAATTGACCCACTCTTTTTTGTACTCTTCTAATTCCATTCACACAGATATTTGGCTTCTTTTCTATACCAACTTCTGTAGACTACTCTTCAAGAATTTCCAAAGAAGAGCAATTTAATAGTCCTGTTTATGCCACACAAAAGTTTATACCACACATATTAAATGGCAAATGCTTTGGTTTGCTTTTCCTTCCAAATTTCAAGTGGCATGTGTCAATGTTTCACTTTGAACTTAGAAAATGGCCAAGGAGCCCACCCCATGTTCCTAACACTAGAGGGCCAAGTTTTGTGATTGGGCTGGTTGGATGAATGTCCAAGAATGATCCAATTGAAATCTGATTAACATCGAATATACAAACCAACCAATGATTTGAATATGACATAACTCATTAAGGAAAACATCGAAGCGTGCAATGTTGAAGATTCCCCATCTTCAACTTCATAGAAAATTTTAATCTTTGTTCTCTTTCCATTCTTCAATTTGGAGAAATCGAGAAAAGTTCAAAAGTTTCTCGAATGAGGCTCGAGGTTTCTAGAAAGCAATTTCTGACTCAATCTTCCAAGAACATAGAAGAGAATGTATTCTCCATTCCTATCCTCCAAATTAATTGAAAGGAAAAAGAATTATCCTTCCCTATCCTATTCAAATTAAATCCCTACAAAGAATCTTACAAATCAAGTATCAAATCAGAAGGCAGAAAATTCAAATTACAAGCAAAATATGCCAATATGGTCGGAACCATTAGTCTGTGTTTTCCTCAGAACCTAGACCTCTACTTCTATAGGCAGCTGTAAAGTAGGAATGTAGTTGCAAGGATGCCTACGGACAAGTTTAGATGAGCACAACTTGGCTCACACTCACAGTGAAAGATACTAGAAGATTATGTGATGGGCAACGGGCCACCAGGCCACTGTATTTGTCACAGTGAAAGATACCAGAAGATTATGCAACAGGGCGACAGGCCATGGTACAACAGTTGAAAGGGCACCTTGAGTTGAGCTGTAGTCCAATTCCAGCCATCGCAAGGCATATGCTAGAGAGCTCAACCTCCTCCAGCACCAAATCATTTGTTATATTCGGATTGCTCTGAAAAGATCAGAGAAGAACATTCTGTTGCTAACTTTGATTGCCTTGAGAAGGAATAGAAGTCGGGTGTTTTTTATTAATAATGTTAGTAATAAAAGTTATTTTAAAAATATTGTATTTTAATTAAAAATATTTAAAACATGGTATGTTTTGAAACTTTTTTTAAAAATATAATAGTTACGCCTAGTAAATTTGTTTTAAATTTAGGAGGTGGTCGTTTCTCGAAGCAACATGGTCGTCTCTTCATCCGGTTGGTTCATTTTTGGAAAAAAAAAACAAATTGTTATATTATATATTATTTAGTAGTTCAAATGTAAAAAATTGTTTAGTGGTGCGGTGGGTGTACTGTTACCATAATAACTCTTCCATCCCAAGTTCAAATCTTGGGTCATGCATTAATCATCTCTTTTCTCTTTTTTACGAAATATTAGGATAATAGTACATTCGCTACACCACTAAGCAGTTTTTTACATTAAAACTACTAAATAATATAAAATATAACAAAATGTTTTTTTTTTTTTCAAAAAATGAACCGACCAGCACATGGTGAGACGACCACGTTCAAATTTTACCAACCTTCTGTTTTTTAAAAGTACAATATTTTTAAAATAAGTTTCAAAACCTACAATATTTTTAATTAAATAACTATATTTTTAAAATAAGTTTCATTTGGAACAATATTAAAACAAAAAATCCAATAGTAAGTCCTACTAAGCTCATGTGGATGGTGGGATCACAGCTGAAGAACAAATTTTTCCTGTCAAATATAAAAATATTAGACAGTAATTAGGATTGTAATTGTAAGTGCAAACATAAAAGTATACTGTTATACGGTGTCACGAATGCAACTATAACTGGAAAAATTTAGATTTGGTTACAGGCAGAGTTGGTCTCATCCTTAAACCAATAGCATTCTGCATTTTTATGCAAACAATTGAAATGAGAGGTGACTTCTGGGATTGTACACATTACAGTCTCTATCGTAACTCATAAGAAATTCTTTGCGCCAATTAGATAAAGAACAGAAAATGGTGCGCTTACATGTCAACGAAAAAGACCATCAAGAAACTTTCCTTGCAGTGAAAGATATTCATTGCCGCTTCACAAAACACAAACTTTTGCTAGATTTGCGATCTACTTTGAGCCTGAATATTCACAAAACTTGGTTGTGAAAAGTGTTATCCAACAGGGAAACCATTTATAATCAAACAAGCGAGTAATAACAAAAGAAACAATATGGGAATCTTAGGTTTAAATTTGTATTGTGACAGTTCCGATTAATGAACAAAGTCTACCTAATGAATTGAGAAGTATGGCTTGCTCTAATGAAGACAGAGATCCCTTAAAAAACCATGCCCTCGGTGGCAGCATTGTGGGTCTTCCCCACTAGGGAAGTGTTAAGCACTGTTTTCTTGTCAAGCCAGGTTTTCTCTCCGTGCCCACCTCACTGCACATCAAACCAATAGGATGTAAAAGGATTGAAAAGGTTCGATACACGAGAACATAAAATCAGCAGGGAGGAAAAGGCACTAGAAAGTAAGAGATCTTCTTATGTCAGCATAAAAAGATGTTTCCACAGAAGCGTATAGGATAGGAAAATGATTGACATGACAACATTATTATAATCAACTGTTACGTAAAATCATAAATAAGCACTAATTTACCTTGTCATCTCTGGTGGCAAGCAACTTATTCTCCAATCTTTGAGCAGCCTCGGTCATGCCTTGAGCATTTAATGCCCGAATCATTGTACCAAATGTAATGTTGTCCGGCACACATTTATTCTCTTTCATTTTCAAGAACAATTCTCCCATCCTTTTCACATCACCAGCTTGGCCATACACATTAATAAGGCAGTTAAAAAGGGGCGTATCTGGTACCACATCAGAATTTTCGATTTGCCTCAAAATCGATTCAACTTTCTCAATATTACCAGATTTACCATAAGCATTAACAAGGGAACAGTAAGTCACAGAGTTGGGCTTCATTCCCTGATGTTTCATGTTTTTGAAGTATTCTTCCATCTTCTCAATATTTCCAGCTCTTCCAAACACATCAATGATTGTATTCATAGTAACAACTGTTGGAGAGAAAAAGCGGTTTTCCATGAAATTCAAAACAGACACCATCTTGTCATACATTCCAGCTTTCCCATATGAGCTAATCATAGTATTGAATGTCCAAACGTCTGGTCTGATTCCCATCAGCTGAAATTCATTATACCACTTCTCCATCTTCTCAATCTGCTCACTATTTCCATAAGCTTTTATTAAAGAATTGAATGTAATCAAATCTGGATGGCAGCTACCACTTTCAATCATTTCCAATAACAAGCTTTCCATTTGCTCAAACATTTTAGCTTTTCCAAATCCATTAATTATAGTATTGTAAGTGACCGTATTACAAGCAATTCCAAGGTATGACATATCAGTAAGTATGCCCTTCAGAAGATCAAACCGACGGAGTTTTGTGCAACAGTCAATGAGAATTGAATATGTATGTATATTTGGCTTGTAGTCAGAAACTGATTTCATTTCATCTACTATTGAAATGGCCTTGTGAAGGAGGCCACTTCGACCATAAGCACTAACGAGAGCAGTGTAAACATCAATAGAGGGTTTCAACCCCTCAGACAACAAAATTTGAAACAGCAAACTTGCTTGTTCAGGTTGCCTGCACTTACCCAGCATCATCAACAATTTTGTGTACGTTTCGCATCTTGGTTCATACCATCGTTGCTGGCGAAGTAGTCCAAAAATCTGAAGAGATATACCAAATTATTTGGTCATAACTCTTATTGTCAAAATACGAGGGTAAAATCAGTTCCTTAATTGTAAGTTTCTTATTTTCAGTACAGAAATGAAGTATCAAAAATTTCAGGTAGAAGAAGCTTTGGCCGATGGGTTGAAATTGCTAAAACTAGAGCTTCTATGAAGAAAAGTATTGCCTCCAAGTTCAGAAATGGGAGAAGTCCTAAATTTTGGGAAGATACTTCAATTGAACCTTCCCATTAAGTGTTTCATTGTTTTTTTCGTTGATTAAGTCTTTCATGGTTAAGAATTAGTGCAAACATGTGTTAGTTTATATTAGTGTTTCCACCTTTTAGCATTATGCTGGATAGTTATTTTCATAGTTTGAAGTTATTTTATTAGTGGAAGAGTGGATGTAACTTGGGAAGAGTTTATAGGTTGGTGGCTTGAAGGAGTTGTAGCGTTGATTTAGAGAGAATTTGAAGGGTACTGGCCCAAGTAGTAGGTTAGTGTAGATTAGTGGTCGGTTATTTACTTTTCCTATAAATACTTGCAAAAATTCTCAATTCGATGAATAGAAGTTCATCCTTCATACAGTTTCTCTCTTGCTTCCACGTTCATCTTCGCGTTTTTTTTGTTACATTCATTTCCTAATATTTACATCACTTCCAGTGCTAAAGGTTTCTGGAGTTGGAGGGAGTGCACACTCCTCAATGATAAAGTGGAAATTGTTCCTTTTAGCCTCAATTAATGCAGAACTTACAGGGCCTCTTCACTAGTAAATTCAATCAGTAGACAGGAAAAATTCCACATACATCGAAATCAAAACAAGACAAAAAGTAGCAATCAGCAAAAATAAGAAGAAACAACCTTAAGAGAAGTCTCCCAGAGATTGTCCTGAATAGCCTCATCGAGAGCCTCCAGAACAGCTTTGGGCCACAGATTATTGTACTTCTTGGAGTTGGCTTTCCGCTCTATAGCTCTAATAGCAGCGTCTTTCCTGAGAATTCGAGACAGACCCTTCTTCGGATCTCTCTGTAGGCCATTATCAGAAGCCTGGTCGGAACTCCGCTTAAGCGACGGGGCGCGGGAAGAAGAGATGAAGGACCGAGTGGGACCGATGGAAGCCATTGAATCGACTCTGCAGGAGCGGAGGATTGAGGCGTCGCGAAGATGAAGGTGAGGCTCCATTGGCGATAACTGGACCGTGAGAGGACGATCGTTGGCGGGTGAGGAAACAAGATTTTACATTTCACCCTGCTCCTATCTCCGTCGGGAGAAATCAAATTTTCACGTGAAACCGAACATAGTTCAGGTGGGTGAGACATTCATTTTCAATAAAAAAATAATTGTAGTTTTGAATTTTTATTTACGTATTGTAAAAAAAATTAACTTTTATCCTAAAATTTGGTAAATTTTTTAATTTCATCTCATTCTACTTCAATTAATTAGAGTATAATTGTCAAAAGAAGCATAGCTTAACTGTAATTGACATGTACTTCCAATTAAGAGATAGATTGTGAGTTCAATCCCTATCTGTACCAAACAAATCGATTTCTTTCATAAAACTTTTAATTTCATCTCATTCTACTCCCATCTAAATAGAGTGTTGCAATTTCTACTCTATTCAACTTATACTAATTCATCCACCCATTTAAAAAAATGTAAAAAAAATTTTTTAACTCATTATTCAAAGTTTTAAATCACACAAAATCAATCATTAAATAGCTAAAACTTCCAATTTCATAAAGAAAAGTCCAACTATAATGCTATTTTTGTCCATATCCAATCAATTTTATATTTACATATTTTTATAATTCGTTAGACACGTGAAATTGCATTTTTCAATAACTCTCGAAAATCTATAAGAAGGTAAAAATTGTAATGTTTTTTTTTAAATTGAGGTAAAGATTACCCTGCTTGTCCAAATTTAAAATGTAATTTGATAAAATTTAAAGATTATTGTAAAAAATTGATCTTTTTTTTTCTTTTTTTCTAATTTCTTAAATCTCATTTCGGTTTCTAAACTTGTTGCTTTTGATTGGGTCATCAATTGAGTTTTTAACTTCCTCAATTTTTAAATTATAATTATTTTAGTCTATAAATTTTCAAAACAACTTCTTTTAGGTGATGAATTTGAAAATAACAAATTTGGATATTGTTATTATTATCAAAATTGACCCAACTGACTTATATGCTCTAATACATATTGACTTCAATATATTTAATACATATATTACCTACATGGTTAATTTGTTAAAAGCAAGAAAAAAAAACAATATATAATAATAAAACAATAACCAAAAATAATTATTTTTTTCTTTTCAGTTCATAAATATAAATCAGACGTTTTGAGGGTTTAAAAATCAAAATTGAATAAACTTGACAGCTTAGAAACCAAATAATTCTCAACTTTTTTTAATGACAATAGTAATATGTTTGAGATGACTTTTTAAATAAATCGCTCATACTAAACCAGATCGATTCCGGGATCTTCTTGAAAATGGGAAGATCTAGGATAGGCAGCCAACCTCCTAGAGAGAGCGATGTGCATGGACCAGGTGAGTAGGGATGCAGCTCCGTGGACCACTCGTCGGGCCTGATAGGTGGTGGTATCACACCCTTCTCAAAGGAACCGTAYGTGACACTCTCGCCTCATACGGCTCCGTCCCGACATCAGGACCTCCCCTTTCCGTTGACCAACGGGCCCTCGAACCAACCTGTCCTTCCTTTCTATTCCTCGGTAAGCGCTTTCTTTTCATTCATTGATTGATTCAAGGTAGCTGTAGCTTGCTTCCAAGTCCAAGCACTAGCGGTAGAAGCTAGTCGCCAGACGCACCTTTGGAAGAATTACTGATTTAGAGTGTGTTTAGTACAATTTTATGAGTGAATTTAGACATTTAAAAGTGTACTTTTAAAAACCAATTGTGTTTGGTAATTGATAAATAAATAAATAAGTTTAAAAAATCAAATTGCTTGAAATTTTAGTTTTGAAGAAACACTTCATAAATAATTATCTAAAAAGTTTTTATTTAAGTGATTCACAGTCCTGTAGTTTAAGTACTTCAAAGATAATTACCGATAAAAAATGCTAAAAAAAAGTAGGTCAAAATACTATTTTGATCTTGTACTTTCGTTCATTTTAGTCCTTATGTTTTGAAAATGTTTATTTTTGTTCAAACTTTGGTTCTGTACTTTTAAAAAATGATATCTCTGCAAAAATTTACATATAACATAAACTCTTTAGTATAAAGTAATGTATACATTTTAATAAATATATTGATGGTGGTGTTGTGTTGAAATTTTGATCCAGAAAAATTAGATTAAGAATAAAAGTAAGGGACCAAACTGGTCATTTTCTAAAAGTTCAGGGATAAAAATAAACATTTTGAAAGCACAGAGACTAAAATGAACCAAAGTTGAAAGTAGATAAACCGAACATTTTAAAAATACATGACCAAAATGAACCAAAGCTAAAAATACATTGACCAAACTAGTATTTTAACCCAAAAAAAAGTACTTAAATTAAATAAAATATATATGTAAAAATCATCTAAATCAAACATGAAATGGAAATTCAAACATAAGTCTTTTGAATTACTATTGTTTTAATAAGTTGACGAGTTCTATTAGGTTGAATCCTTACTCCATTTATAATAATAATAATAATAATAAGTATTATTTTCATTTTGGCAAATGAAACAAAAAGACACTTTTTAGTTGAATATGTAGAAGTATGAATTCGAACTCCAATTTTGTTGGTCAATAATGTATATTTTTAATTAACTGAGTTGTACTAGTATTTCACGAATCACAATATTCAATGATACAATTAATTGATGTATTATTTTATTACGCGAGATTAATAATCCTTCTAATATTACAACTCATTTTATTAAAATGTGGTTGACAACAATTATTTTAGAAGCTACACCAATCTTAAATCAATCAAATTTAGATTAAGTCAATTCAGGTTGGAAGATGCAAATAGCATGAAGATATTAATTCAATTCATAAATTAAGTTTTAAAATGCAACCATATTTTTTTTACTTCACGGAATGACGTGTGTGTATATATATATTTATTTATTATTATTATTTTTTTTTTTTACTTCACGTATATATTTACTTTTAAATTGCAAATTTAGTGTAATTTAATAATACATATAGAAAAAGTAAATTCAATAATTACCAACTTAAAAAAATTAATTGGTCAAGACATATATCATAAAAAGAACCCTATGGTGGTTCGGATTCCCACTCTATTGTCAAACTAAAAAAAACTACGTCATAAATATCTTTTTCCTTCTAATTATGTTTTAATTTTGGTCGGCTTTTACATGGGCCAGTTTATATATTTTGGAGGACCACTTTGGCATATTTGCGGCCCAAAAGAAAAATGAAATTTAATTAGTTAGAAAAAAGTCATAAATTTTTTTTCCTTATAATTATGTTTTAAATTTGGTGGGCTTTTACATGGGCCAGTTTATATATTTTGGAGGCCCACTTTGGCATATTTGCGGCCCAAAAAAAATGGAATTTAATTAGTTAGGAAAAAATTTCACGCCTGGTGGGACTCGAACCCACAATCGTCTGATTAGAAGTCAGACGCCTTATCCATTAGGCCACAGGCGCTGATGATGTTGACTTAACCTAATTAATTAATAATATACTTTTTATTACCCTTTTTCTTCTAAAGACCAATTTATTTTTAAATATATTAAGATTTGAAAAATATGACACCAAACATGTCATGTTGTTTGGTCATAGCATTGTCTATGGTTCTTTCATTGCACCAACTATTACTCCTCACCTTCTCCATGACGGCTATGATGTTTAATTGTGGATTTATATCAAGTATTTTGAATCTTGCCAACGACCTATTTTGAAACAAATCTAAGTATAACTCAACTAGTTAAAATACATCGTATTTTCAATCATACTTTCCTTTAGAATCGTTTCTAAATTCGAATAAGTAGTAAAATTAATATATTTTTACAACTAAATTTAAATTTGTCCACAAACCAATTAATAAATCTCAAAATATCTCCATTTTGGTAAAAAAAAAAAAAGTCAAAATACGATGTAAAATATACCATAGCTATATAAATAATACTTTCCACGCAAAAATGTCTGTACATCAATAATTAAAATACATTTACTATATTTTACCAATTTTAAAATTAAATATCAATCTTGTATTTGGTGACAGCGATATTCAAAAGAACTCTGTGTATTAAATTCACAAATATCACTGAAATTAAAATGTTGTAAATAAAAAATGGCTTAATAAGTAAAATATAAAAATAAAGTTTTATTTAAAAGAAATACAAAGACTAAAATATTTGATTTTTTAATATTATGTAAAAACTAATTACTTGGATTAATTACTTACAAACTATTTTAAAAATGTTGTAATTTTAATTACTAGAAACAATCTCTCAAGACATGATATACGTTTGATATAGAGGTCTATATTTTTTTGAAAACTCTACGTGGTCTTCCACTTAAATTTTTACACAAGAGGCAACCTCTAACTCTTCATTTGATTTTTTTGTCCTAAAATGTTAAAAAATCTAATTATTCATAAATGGAAAATTATCTAAACTAAATATAGTTTAAAAATTTTAGGAATGTTTGTTTTTAAATCTGTTTAAATGTTAATAAAATCCAATTACTAAATAAAATTTAAGATGATTTTGTTTCTAAAATTATGCAATGTTAATAGAATCTAATTACCATAAAGGAAAATTATCTAAACTAAATTTATTTTCGAAAATTTACAAAGGGTTGTTTCAATAGTTATCTAATAAATAGTTTGAATGCAAATGGAAAGGCAAAAAAAAGGGGGAAAAAGCGATGGTACCTAAAATTCAATTGGCCCTACTTTGCTAACTAAAAATAAACCAAATCTAATTAATATTGAAATAATTAAATAATCAAACCTAAATTTAACAAATAATTAGGTTTAATTTAAATTTAGAGAACTAATAAGATGTGATTCATTCTTAAAAAAAAAAAAAATATATATATATATATATATACACTATATCATACTCATATTGGGAATAATATGTCAGAAAGCAAATAAGTTGAAAATTTTAGGTTGATTTTATTGTTTTTTTATCCTCCTATTTGCATTCAAACAATTTCTTAAATAATTTTAAAAACAAATCTTCCTAAATTTTCAAAATAAAATTTAGTTTAGATCATTTTTCATTTTAATAATGAGATTTTAGTATATTAAGATAATTTTAAAGGCAAATATTCTTAAATTTGCAAAA